GACAAACGCTATGAGGCAGTATGATGCCATTGCTTTCTGTGCTTACCAACTGAGCGCTTACCTCCATGTGTACAGCTTTTCAGCTGTAACAGGTTTATCCAGTGGATCGCCATGTATATTGGTGGATTGAAACACAGAGCAGAGTTGACCGTGATGACAGGGTTCGAGTCCGCTGAAGAATGGTTCGAGAATGCAGGTAAAACAAAAAACAGAAGCCAAAAAATAAAATAAATGAGTAAATAATAGGGTTAGAATGTGGTAAAATCTGAAAACGTGGTAAAAATCAAGTGAGGGCTTATCTTTTTCTGGATTGCTTTTGAAAACACTGTCGGTTGGTTTTAGGGAAGTGGGTAGTTGTTGGTAAATCGTTGATTTTTAAAACGCTATCGATTGGGTTTAGAGAAGAACAAGGGTGGGTCAGTTGATCGGTCAGTCAGTCAGTCAGTCAGTCAGTCAGTCAGTCAGTCAGTCATTCGACAGTGGCCTCTTGTGGATTTACGTGAATGGTGCAAATGGCACTTACAAGAGAAATGTGAGATTTCTAAAAGTGTACACAGTGGCCTTTGGTGGATTCAAGAAAACAAAAACTGCAAAAAAAAAACGTAGCTCCTGGAGCATATTTGGTGTTCTCCAGAAATGTATATAGGGGTACATAATCGAAAGATCCCGGGTTGGAAATTATAGTCACACTTTCTTTCATGGTAAAAATATCGATATTAACTAAGATTTTTAGATCAATAAACTACTAATAGTTTACGATTTATAGTCAGTAGGGTATAGTTGAGATAGGTATTGGGTAGGATTAGGGATGTAGTATAAGATGATAGTTTGTGAAGTATTAATAAACAGCCAATTTATTACTAATAGGTATCTAATAAGTTAGTAGTGGGTAATTTGGTACCTAAAGTGTTAATAACATTTATTTTAGTCAGCAAGAATTAAAAAAAGTAACTGCTGCTCTTTTAACATTTATTAAAAAGTTTTATAAAGAGAAAAAGGTTTATAGTTTTATAAATATGTCATTTATAATGTTTTCAAATTCATTATGATACTGAAGGACAGATAAGCATATTAATTTATTATAAGCATATTAACTTAAGATTAACTATTTCAAGGATCATGTGATAATGAAGTTGGGAGTACAGATGCTGCAAATTCAGCTTTGCATTAGAGGAAAAAATTGGAATATATTACATTTATAATTATAGTAAAATAGTAAATAGTTATTTTAAATGATTGTTAAATCAAACATTCTTGCTTGATTTGCAAAACAAATAAACAAATGTAGCCTTTGTTAGCAAAAATACAAGCTGAGTAAGTTAAGCAGTGGTGTAAAGTAACTAATTACAAATACTCAAATTACAGTAATTGAGTATTTTTTTGTTTTTTGTTTTGTTTTTTTAGAAATTGTAATTTACTAAGTAGTTTTAAAAATGTGTACCTTTACTTTCACTTAAGAAGATTTTTAGTGCTGTATCTGTACTTTTACTCTACTGTTTTCCTTCAACCTGCAGTCACCACTTTATTTTTTTCTTGTCTATGAGGATTAGAAAAATCAGTCCTGGGATTCTTGTCTAACACTTTATAAATGCAGCAAACTGTTTAGAAGCAATAACAGTGTCCAAGAAGATGTCCAAAATCATTACATGCAAAGACCAAGAGACTGTTTAGATGCATGTCTCTGGTGATGCATGCATGTTTACTGTATGATAACCGAAATGGCCCAGCAGGCACAAGACGCCAAGATGACGTTAGATTGACGTTGTACAACAATTGCATAGGGACTTTGCATTTAGTTTGGAAATGAAAATCAGGCTGACGTCAGAACTCAATGTCAGGCTGATGTCCAACCTAAAATCAACCAAATATCAACGTCTAATGATGCTACAGCTTGACGTTGTGTGGGCGTTACCACCAACTAGTAGACATTGAATTCTGGTTGCCAAATAAATGTCAGTATTTGATGTCAATATGACGTTGGTTTAAGATGTTGGCTCGATATTGAATTTTCATCACTTTCCAACCTAAAATCAACCAAATATCAACGTCATTTGATGTCGTTATTGGACGTCTAAATAACATTATCCTTAAAAACTGGCTAGACATTGAATTTTGGTCACCTGACATCATTGCCTAAATCTAACCTAATAATAACGTCTTATGACGTTGTGTGCCTGCTGGGCAATAACTAAATGCACTACAAAATGTTACGTTTACACGCATCCACAAATTACATGTAAATTCATCAGCTTTCTACTTTTGAAAGGTCTACTTTTCACTCATACTTTGAGTAATATTTACTACAGATACTTTTACTCTACTACATTTTTAGGCAAGTAATGGTACTTTTACTTGAGTATAATTTTTCAGAATTCTTTCCACCACTGAAGTTAAGCCTTAAAGTGCTTCCAGAGCTTGTTTTGTCAGACATTCAGTTGTTGAAAAGTTCAGTCTTTATACTGTACTTATAAAAGCAAATAGATGCATCAGAAGTCACTTTTAAAATATGCCGATTTCTTTAGTCAACATGGCAAATTTGTCTAACCAAAGCACCTATGGAAATACTCAATCGCATAGACTCTACTGAATTTCACCTTCAGAAATAGCTGAAAAAAATCAGTAGTATCTGGATGCAAATGTGGATTTGCAAGCTGAGACTGCATATCTCAGAGATGCAATGTCAGACACAATGCACTCAACGGAGATAGTGATGTCACTGTGAGGGGTGGGGTTATGTGCGGGCATTAAAAAGCATTGAATGCAGCTCAGATTGCAACTGCACCAAGTCTGCATCCAGACCCCTCTCAAAAATGGTAAATGTTTAATGTCATAAACATTAAATGTAATGTAATGGCAATATTTATTGAAAATTGAAGGTTTACTTAACCATAGGCTATGTTCTTTCCCCACACACAAACACATACAGGGTTCTTACACCTTTTCCAACAATTCCAGCTCTTTTCCAACACTTTCAAGGTGCATTTGTATGCTTTTCCAGCATCTATTCACAACGGTTAATTGTGTTTATATATGTTGTATGTACTTTTTCACATTTAAATCCATTATGTTATTTTTAAAAAACACAATACAACAATTCAGTTTAAATTGTTGAGTACTTTAGAGCAAAGATTTATTGGGATAGTTCACCCAAAGATGATTAAAAATCATTAAAAAATGTGTTTTACTATCATTGGATTGGCGTTTCAGGTGCAAAGATGCATTTTGGGTGAATGTCTCCTAAATACTTATGAAGCGAATAGTGCCAAAACAATCTGAATTTGAATTGTGTTAATTTGAATTATTAAAAACGTAAAACTGTATTTTTACATTCCCAATATCTGCAGTCTTTAAATTCAGAACCAAAAAAAAATCTGAAGTTTAAAAATGTGTCTATAAAAATTTGACTTAAAAAATTAAGTTGTCTTAAATTTCAGATGCTCAATAATCAAGTTTCCGTAAGTACATTTCTAACAGGACATAATCAGCCTTATTAACTTACAATTGTTAATAATAAAATTTAACACAATTCAAATTCAGATTGTTTTGGCTTATTTTTAACTCCATAAATACGCACATGGCGTGAACATTTTGCAATGAAAACTGGTCGCACAACAACAATTTATGCACTCGCACATATGCTCCCAAATATATTTTGAGGTCACATCGATAAAATCATGCACATATGCAACCAAAACAGTCACACTTTCGAGCCCTGCAAATTTAAGTTTAAGCAGGCTCAAGGACTTTATCCAAAATCCATGCACTTTTCTAAGATTGAAAACACTATATTGAAAATCAAGCATTTTCCAGGATTTCCAGCACATGTAAGAACCCTGCACAAAAAGGTTTGTGAATTGTTGTTTTCAGGTTTCTATTGTATTTATACAGAGCAAACTGTATTTTTTCTATTGCCCTACACCAGCCCTATTCCTAACCCTAGCCCTTACACACTGTGTGCAGTTGTACTTTCAGAAGAAAACTCTTTCTGTTTGATTTATAAGCTTAGAAATATATGAAAAATTAGAGATGTCCTCATAGTTCACAATCTGAATGTAATACCTATGCAATCCCCAAGTTGTTATACATATCTGTGTCCTTATATTGTATGTCACAAAACAACTCATTTTAGAGTAATACTTCTGGACTTTTACTGACACAACTTTAGGTTGAGTGTTAATAGTGGTTAGCACAGTCATCTCACAACAAGAAGATCCCTGGTTCGAGCCTCGGCTGGGCCAATTGGCATATCTGTGTGTGGAGTTTGCATGTTCTCCCCATCTTGAAGTGGGTTTCCTCCAGGTGCTCCAATTTCCCCCACAGTCCAAAGACATGTGCTATAGGTGAATTGAATAAACTAATTTGGCTGTAGTGTATGTGTGTGAATGAGTGCGTATGGGTGTTTAGGTTAGTGTGGAATAGGTGGTGGTTCATTCCGCTGCAGTGACCTCTGAAATAAAGACTAATTCGAAAGGAAAATGAATGAATGAATGAATGAATAAACTTTAAGTTGCATTTGTTAACCTGCCTCTGCACAATGTCCAACCAAACCAAATCCAATGCGCCCAAAACAAACTTTATTCTAAATAACTAATCCTTATCTTAAAAAAAGATCAATAATCAGCTGAATTAAGTTCAACTAGCCTAGTTTATTATTTTTTATATATTATTTCTCATGTATATCTTATATAGATCCTAATCAGATTAAAAAGCAAACATAATGCTACATAAAAAAGCTCTCAGGTCTCAATATCTTCACATTTTACTAGAAACTGAAATCACTTTAAAAGCAATCCTCATTGTCATTCTATTTGCCAGACAAATGGCAAACATGCTGGAGGAGTTGGTAAAACATCAGCTTCTAACGATTACGCTGACACACATTCACAGTGAAACACACTCATTATCGCTCCCACACACTGACGTACACACACACACACACACACACACACGTGCAGCACCTTAGAGAAGTGTGAGTTTATGAATGGCAGTGAAACTCTTACGGTGACGGTGGGAATGGCGGTGACCAGCGAATACACCAGCACCGGAGGAGCTTTGCTGTCATCTTCAGGTCCTGGATACGGCTTGGAGAAGGTTTTATCGTAGCAGAAGAATCCTTGAATGTGCACCGGGAACGTGTCCGTGTACTCAAAGTAGTACGCCAGGAGAACCGTCCCTGCCATGATCACCAGCTGGAAATAGAACATGACTCCAGTTTAGAATGGAAAATCCGCTCCGAAACGCAGATGCTGAAATAAAAGCACAAGCTGCAGTCGGAACAAATGAAGAAAAACAATAAAGAAGAAGACAGTTCTCCCTCCGTGAGAGAAGTGGCAGAAGATTTTGAGCTTTGAAGGAGTGAAGACAGCATGAAAAGATGCTGAGAGAATGGCTAGAATCCTTTCAGCTGTGGCTGTCTATGGAAAATAAAAAAATAAGGCATGGAAGACAAATAAAGACAGACATTTTACGCAAAAGAAAACAAGAGGATGAGAATGATCAAGGGAGAGAAGGAAAATAAGGGAGGTGGAAAAGAGATGGCAATGCTGTAGAGAAAGAGGGAGGAGGAGGAGTGAGAGAGAGAGAGAGAGAGAGAGAGAGAGAGAGAGAGAGAGAAGGGGGGAGTTGTGCATCTGTGCTCACAGCGGGAGAGGAAATTGCTACATCGCTACAAGTAAAGCATGCAGCTCTTTCAGATTTTTGGGCAGCAGAGATAAACAGCATGACATTTATTCCCATCATTTATGAAATGCCACTTTCAATGAATAGGGTACAAAAAAGGGCCTGAAATTTCTTTTCGATAGACAGTCAAATGATTTGCTTCCTTTCAGAATCTCTGGAAAATTTTGACTGTCAGCCCTAAATATTATGAACTATTTACACAGTTCTGTTCATTTCGGTTTGAAACTGACACTTTCTAGCAAGAAAACACATAAACAGCGTTTGATTTTCACAGTTCTGTTCATTTTGGTTTGAAATTTGCACTTTCTAGCAAGAAAATACATACACATAGCTTTAGATTTAAGTTTCTCTAAAAGTGCTGTTTATCAGCATTTGGTTAAGATTACATTAAGCACAATATTTAAAAATTGTAAGAAACAGCACACATTTTCATTTTGAAAGACAAAATATTTTTGTCTTTTAGTGGATTTTTTATATGAGACACTAAACAAATGTCTAGTGTATTTGCACTGTAAACCTTAAAAGATACTTTTATATTTTATTTGTTAGGTTTTCAGCTTTCACATACAGTATATTCACAGATTTTTTTAAAAATACAGTCATAGATGTTAGCAAGTCAAATAAATATTTGGTCTTTTGCATAAGTAGTTGTAAATATTTTAGTATTTAAGGTATTTGAACACTGAAATCTGAAATGTACACGTGCGTTATTTTTTAATATTCACTTTCGAGAAAAATAATGATATTGTGTCCGTCCAATCCATTGCACAGAGACAAAGAATTCATCTCCTTATTAAGAGCTGTGTGAAATTCTTCCAAAATAAAAAGTTCATTTTAGGAAATCTGTGGCATTTTGATACTTTGTTACAATACTTTAGTTACATACCACACATTTCTGAAAAAAAAAAAACAATTCTCAAAATGCCTTTTTCAGATGCAAAAAGCTGAAAAAGGAGGAACCCAATCACATTTTTTAAAAGGGACATAATGTGTAAATGTGATTGACACAACATGATGCAGATTAAATTTTTTCTGCAAAAGTTTGAGATGACTACTCCATGAACCTAATCTTGGTGGAAGGCAGGCACGTGCACACATAGGGCTCAACCTGTGCAGTGCACATGCCCTTTTTAGTCTTGGATAGAAAGTGCCCTTCCAAAATGATCAAAAGTGCCCCCGCGACGCGGCACACCCTCGGTCCCGCCCTTCAGTAGGCGCGCGACAACACCGCTCTTGAGTACGCGCGCGACAACACAGCTGATCAGAACGCGCGCGACAACACCCCCCCCCCCCTTTTTTTTATCCTGCACATGCCCTTTGGACGGTCTCTGCACGGGCCTGGTGGAAGGGTTTGAGTGCCTAAATGATCTATGAAAAGAGCTACGTTGTTGGGGGCTAATGCCCCTTTTAGGGTCTCCCAAGGCAAAAAAGACTGTGTCGTCACCTGGTATGGCGAATCCGTGGCCCCACCCTGGAGCCAGGCCTGTGGTTAGGGCTCATATGCGAGAACCTGGTGGCTGGGTTCAGCCCGAAGGAGCGATGTGGGACCATCCTTCTGCAAGCTCACCACTTGCAGGGAGAGCCGTAAGGGGCCGTCTATTGTGGAATGGGTGGTGGTCAAATGTTAGGACTATGAAAACCCAATCATCAGGCACAGAAACTCACTCGAGTGAGGGAAAGATGGAACATGAGATTGACAGGCTGATCAGTGCAAGAAAGAGTAGATTTTTCGGTCAGTCTGCATTCCTACTCTCACCTCTGGTCATGAGCTTTGGGTCATGACCAAAAGGACAAAATCTTGGATACAAGCAGCCAAAATGGGCTTAGTTCTCAGGATGGCAGGGCGCACCCTTATAGATAGGGTGAGGTGTTCTGTCCCCCCAGGAGGAGTTCGGAGTAGAGCCACTGCTGCACCAGATTGAGAGAGGTCAGCTAAGGAGGTTCTGTAATCTGTTTCGGATGCCTCCAAAATGCTAGGGAGATGTTTCAGGCATGTCCCACCGGAAAGAGGCCTCGGGGTAGGGACTGGAGGGACTATGTCTCTTGGCTCGCCTGGGAACCCCTTGGGATGACCCCAGAGGAGCTGGAGGAAACATCTTGGGAGAGGGAAGTTTGAGTTCTCTCCTAAGACTGCGACCCGGACAAGCAGAAGAGAATGAATGAATGCATGCACAATGACCTTTAGTCTATCGCATCACCACAACATGACTTTCCAGAACTTTTTCTTTCGCTGATCATGGCTGTAGGAATGATCTTCCAAACCCCCTTCCAAATGTCAAATCGTAGACTCATAATAATAGGTAATACTCATGATGGGTAATATCAGAGATGATTATATTTTCAGATCCTATTGTACATCAGTGCTTCAGTTCATTATCATCCACGAAGCTCTTGTATAAACCGTTGCCTGGTTATTGCTTCATTCTCGTTCTACTTGCCTAAGATCTTTTCTGCTGACTGCTTCGGTCTCCCCCCGCTGAGCGTGCTTTCACGTTATTTCTAGCTCTTATCCCACATGAACATGAGTTTTCTGCTAGCGCTCATCTAAAAGCTATCAACAGAGCTCTGCACCCTGCTTAGTCTGCTTTGTAAGCCCACAGAGAGCTTCTTAACCTTTTTTGTCACTGGAAACCCAACAGCCACATCAGTAGCCTTTCATTAACACCAAACCATTAACACGCATTTCACTGATATTATGATGGATATCATTCAGCATTAGGATTTATTACAATAAAGTGTCATGATTTTTAATGATTTTTACAATTGTAGTGGTTTTAAAATATGTTGTTTTAATGAGACACATGGCCTGTTTTGTTGTCTACAATTCGTGGTTTTAACAATTAATGGTCAATTATGTTTATGTAATTAGAAAAATGGAAATTAACACTCTCTGATGGAAGATTTGGCTGTTTTTCATGTTCATATACCAGTTTTTACTCAAGATTTTGTTGCGGTTTGTACATTGCTTTTGGCTCAAAAGATAAAAACGCATTTGAGTTCTGTCATATTGACACAGGCTCATGTCACAGGGGTAAAAATGCAAAATGATGCTTTCCAAAGTAGGTTACAGCTAACGATTTTGATGGCTTCATCAAACAGTTAATCAAATGGAATAATTCAATCTTGACACAAAGCTGAAAATAACGAATCACTCATGCTTTAAATCATGTGCTAATAAAAGTATTCTAAACACAAACACACAGATTCAGTTTTTAGGTTTTACTTATGGTTTGCTTGAGGATTAAAATCCAAGACTGAAAAAAAAAAAAAAAAAAAAAAAAAAAAAAAAAAAAAAAAAATATATATATATATATATATATACACATTTTTTTTTTTTCAGTCTTGGATTTTAATCCTTTTTATATTTTGATGGGAATTCAGACGGCATGTAGAGGTTTTCGCATCTGAACTCTCAATTTCTTTAAGTTCTCACCACAGGCAATGTTTTGAGCCTAGACACTCTTCAGACTTCATCATTATTTCTGATGAAGAGTGAGTAAGCTCAAAACGTCACCTGTGTTGAGAACTTAAATAATTAGCTATTTCTGGAACTGTGAAGTGCCTACTCTGGCTTCTTTTGGTTCTAAAGGATAATTGCAAAGACTTGCAATTATTAAAAATGACTAACAATTTATCAACAAAAATGCTATTAAAATGATTAAACGATACATGTTTAGATTATTACTAAGAATTACAAGATCATGGTTTCTACAAAAATCATTAACTATTATCATTCTTCCTAACTAATGCTTTCTTAATTAGAAAGCTATCATATTAGAATGATTTCCGAAGAATTGTGTGATTCAAAAACTGTTGGGATGATGCTTTAAAATTCAGATTTGCATCACAGAATAAAATTAAATTCTATAAAGGAAACCAGTTATTTTAAAATCACAATAATATATCAAAATAAAAGGCAGGCTAACATAAGCATGTAATGTGAATGTATAATGCAAACAATTTGAAGTTTGTCAAGACGAATGAGTGTGAAAACAATCCACCTAACAGGAGTGACAGGATCAACTTCATTATCACATTTTCAAATGTCCTGCTAATTGCAAACTAATTGTGCGCCTTTGTTTCGAGGAAAGGTCAAACATTCACGTAAGCGGCAGGAAAACAGGACAGCAGGGCACAAAGTCAAACACTTTCACATGAACTAATTATAAATGCAAACAAGAAGCAAGGCCATATTTTTGGACACATTTCGAGAGAGTGCTGCCAATGTCACTTCTCACACTTCTCAGTTTGTGTCTGGAGAAATATGCCACAGATGTGTTTGCTAACATAAGGGACTTTTAAAGAGTGGTCCACTTTTGTGGCCTCGTTTCTCAGAGCGAGTCCATTGCTTAGTCAGTTTTTCTGAATTTTTTAAGTGCTGTGCCAGCAAATACAAAATCAGCCGTCATGCTAACTCTGCCACTCTGTCACAAACATGGACATGAGGGTGACAGAGAGGAAAAAAAGTCTTAGGGAGACTTCATCCATCACTGTTAACAAAGCAAAAAAGAAGTCTCAAACCTCTCTAGGTGGTTATTTTGCTGATTACGTGAAGTTTGATAAACTAATTTCAAGATAAGCATGTGATTTGATTGATCGTGGTTGGTCTCACATCCACGGTAAACACATCAGATTAAACCAAACCTACAATAAATAGCGCATTTCACGTTACTTAGCTTATCTCCATTTTTGAAGAATCCCTCACCCACCCTCTTTTTCCTCCTTTACCAGGGGGAGCTCTCGAGAAATTTACTTGGACCCCTTTTACATGCTTATTGAGCAGGCGGGAGCCCTGGGTTGGGCTCAATTGTTTCCGAACTCATGAGGGTTTTCTCTGGGAACAGCACGCCAAACCTACTATTAGTATCAAGTGTGAAGT